TAGATCTCTCATGGAATTCAATTTAACTTTCATTATGGGTCTTCGCAAGGAATGGCGAAGTGTGAGCATGATGATTAAGAATCAACAAAGTTTTGATACAACTACATTGAATGATCTTTACAATCAACTGAAAACACATGAATGTGAGGTCTCATAAATGTATGAAGAATCAAAACAAGCTATTGGTGGTCCTTTGGCTCTTGTTTCAAAGGTATCAGAAACTGATGAAAAAGATGGTTCAGATGAAGAAGGATTTTTGATGAACTCCGATGATGAAGCTGTAGCATTCTATTCAAACAACAGAGTTAAAAAGTTTTTCAAAAAGCCTTTTAATCCAAAAGGAAAGAATAGTGATGGGAAAAATGTTGTCACAAGAACTGGAGGGGAGGAGAGGAAGAAAATGGAGAAAATAGATGAAAAACAGAAAAATGAGAATGAAGAGAAAAAGTTGAAGGGTGATTCAGGAATTTACTGTCACTATTGCAATGGTGCGAATCATTTCGCAGCTGATTGCATGTTGCGAAAGAAAGAAGAGAAGAAAGAAAAAGTTAAAGATGAAGCATACTACTCCGAAAAGATTGAAGAATTACGTGCTAAGACCAAAGGAGTGTCTTTAGTTGCTAAGGGAGAATCTGCTGAAGAAGAAAGTGGAACTTATCAGATCTGGTCTTCAGGATCTGATGAAGAGGAAATGAGGCATCCCACACATGGAGCAATGTTCGCAAGTTTTGAGGATTGTGAAGAGAACATTTCAGGGCGATGTTTTGTGTCTAAATCCACTGACAAGTCACCCATGTCAACCAAGGTACGTGCAATTCTTGAATCTTTTAATATTCCTTTATCTGCTTATGATGCTGAAATTGTTTCATTTGATGATACTGTGGCTTATTTTGATTTTGTTATTGTGTCTGCTAGTAATGAAGCTAAGAAATTAAATGTGCAACTTAGTGAGACACGAAGAGATTTAGAAATAAAGAAGAGCAGAGTTGAAAATTTTGAAATGCAAGTCAAAAATATAGATTGTGATAGGAATAATCTTACTAATGATGTTAGGTTGTTGCTAGCAGAAAGAAACATATATTGTAATTCTGCAAAACGATTGTATGCAAAATTAACAGCTTAACATCATTCTTCTGATATTAGCAAAGAACAACATAGGAAACTTTTACCTTTTCTTGAGTATGAACGTGAAAAAGTTGATGTTGTTTCTTATGATTGCGAAAGTACAATTGCTCAATTTGACAAAATACCTGATGATAGATATTCATATGGTATTGTCAAAATTGATGAATTTCTGAATGCTGATGAGTTGGTTAACATTGTCAATGAAAGTTTGAAAAAGAGTGAACAAGTGAAAATCATAAAGAAAACCGAAAATTCAACTCTTGCCTCACAATTCAATTATGCTGATATTGATGAAAATTCTGATAATGTGAGTGAAATCAGTGAGATAGAAGAAGAAGAAGAGGTTGATTGTTCTCAATTATCAATAATTAATATCACATCCAAGATCAAAGGTAAAGAAATAATTGTTGATTCAATAGTAGAGGATGAAATTGATAAACCTTCAACTTCGTAACATTGTAAGTTTGATAATGTGGAAGTTGAAAGCTGGAAATCTGATGACACTAATGAAAATAAAGAAGAAAAGAAAGTTTCAACTGAAACACCTCAAAGGGTTGTGATTGATCAAGTGTTTGAAAATACAAAAGAATTTGACAAAATTTTAAATGACAAAGGCGCACATTATTTGGAAACCAACACAGTGGTATATCCAAATTTTGTATGTACTGATAAAACTATTTTTCCAAATCAAGTTTTTGTCACTACTGGAAATGCTGAGAATATTCATACTGAGTTCAATAAAATGATTGAAAAAGATAATCAAAAGTCCACGACTGAAGGTTTTTTCGCAAATCAAAACACAGAAGAAAACAATTTAACCCAAAATCCTTATGTGTTTCAAAAACAAAAATCATTACAAAAATGGATGGTTAATGGTGAAAAATCAAACAAATTTTTTGAAAAAGTTGAAAACTCAAAGGTTGAAGTGAAACTAAATTCTCATGAATTCAAATTGATGGTTGGAAATTATTCAACAGAAAATAATGTTTCAAAAAGAAAAGCAAGAAAAGCAATATTCTGGCAAGTTGTGTCTAATGAAAAATCAAGAGACGAAAAAGAACAAATTTCAAAAACATCATCAAAATTTCAAAACAAAAACACACAAACATATTCAAGTTTTCATAAACAAATAAAGTCTGTTGACAAGGTTCCATATATTCGCAAATATGACAACAATCGAAAATTTGAGAATTCGCAAAAATTTGCAAATAATCAAAAGTTTCAAAATGTTGGCAAATTCACGAATACTTCATCAAGTTTGAAGAACTCAACTCAAGTCAAAGTGAAATTTTCACCAAAACAACCAAATTTTCCAAATCCTTCAATATCAAAACCAACCAAAGTTTCATACACAAAAGGAAAATCTGATGTAAGTACGATCAATCATTGGTTTGAAAGGAAAGGAAAGAAATATCAAAGTGGGAAGTTTTCAGAAGAACAAATCAAAAGTGCACTTGATAAGTTCACAAATAATTCTTCAATTGCTAGTGCATCATCTCATAATTCGCAAATAATTCTTCAATTGCTAGTGCATCATCTCAAAATTATTGAATGACTATATCTCAATATCTAGAACTGATGATGTTGATATAATGGATTCTGTTACAAACAAAGTGAAAACATGGTTTTTAAATTCCAAAAATTTGTTTAATTCTACTAATGATGGACCCAATAAGTCTTGGGTTCCTAAATTTTTCCATTAAATGCAGGTAATATGTGACGAGCAATATGATATGAAATGGTATATTGATAGTGGTTGCTCTCGTCATATGACTGGAAGAAAGGAAAATTTGCGAGATTACAGAAGCTTGGAAAATGCTGGAGTAGTCAAATTTGGAAATAATCACAAGTGTCAAGTGAAAGGGTATGGGAAAGTCACAAATGGAAACTTCACAGTAAACAGAGTTGCCTGTGTTGAAGGACTTCAACATAATTTGATAAGTGTATCACAACTTGTTGTGGGTACTGGAAATCAAGTTGTATTTAATGAAGAAGGAAGTATCATTTCAAATGCAAAGACAAATGAAATACTCCTCAAATCCAAAAGATATGGTGATATGTTTACACTGGACATCAAACCGATTGTGGGAAAACCAGCTGTGTGTTTACTATCAAAAGCATCTAATGATCTCAGCTGGCTTTGGCATAGAAGATTGTCACATTTGAACTTTCGAAATATAAATAAACTTGTAACTGAAGATTTAGTTCGAGGGTTACCAATACTAAAATTTGATAATGATTCTTTGTGTGCAGCTTGCGAACAAGGAAAACAACATCGAAAAGGTCATCCGATTGTGATAGATTCAAAAATAGTAGATCCATTGGAACTTCTTCACATTGATCTATGTTGACCAAAGGAAACCATTAGCTAATTAGTTCCATTTTGAGGGTTTAAAATTAATATCTAACTAAGAGTGTTACAACATCTAAGGCTCATTATGCCAAAACAAAGCTCTTCAAGGGTTTTATGCATGAAAGTTGGCCAATAGCTTGATAAAGCTCGAATCTTTAGGCCCGAGAGACCTCATATTATCCAGATCTGAAGTCTCAACTTCATGGCATGCTCAAACAACTTGGGGACTCAAGGAGAAAATGGAAATGACCATTTACTCCCTAATGAAGATATCTAACCAAGAAAATGATCAATGTGATAGCTTTTTACCTCTAAGTAGCAGCTAGCACTGAAAGAACACTAAATCCAAGGGCTCTTTCTCGTTCCAAGCCTTTTGTTCCTCAGTTTCCTTCCAAAAAATGCACTAGAACATACAATCTTAGTCTCTCTCTCTCTCTCTCTCTCTCTCTCTCTCTCTCCCCCTCGCTCCCTCCCTCTTTCACAGATGAATATAGCTCGATTAGAGTTTTCACACTCAACTCCTACTCATCGAGTTGGGTCTTCCAACTCGTCGAGTAGACTTTAAAAATCACGCGGCCATTTTAAATCTCTACTCGACGAGTTGGGGCCTCTAACTCGTGGAGTTGCCCTGACAAAATGAATATAAATGAATTAAATATTATGCCTGAGAGTCGGGATGTTACAACCCCTAGTTTGTTGCCCGTTTACTATCTATATAAAACTTTTCTGTTTTAATGAAAATGAAAATAATTAATAATTTGGTAAAACATAGAATCCTCTCTAATAAATGAAGATTTTTTTTTCCCACTTGTTACACTTTTATTTAATTTTCCAAATGTCATTTTGTAGTTATTTTGAATTAATTATTTTTCCACATGTTATTTTATGAAATTTTATATAATATTTTAATATAATAATTGTAATAAATGTAGTAATAAATAGATATCAATTTATTAATGAATTTATCTTTTAATTTAAAAATTTTAAAATTAAAGTTCATTAGTTTCTTTTATTTATTTAAATTATTTGTTTAAATTCAAAAGACAAAAACATTTTCATTATAATAATTTATTATTTTTCTTATTTTCTTATAAATTTAAAGTTTTCAAATATTTAGACATTTATATTTAATTTTTTTTAAATTAATCTATATAATATATGAATTTCACAACTAATTTGTTAAATACATCCATAAAAAATACGAATAAATTAAAAATGATTATTTGAAATAATAAAACATATATTTAGGGGGTTTTTGACTTGTTTTTTAGGCAAAAATTCTTTTTATAAAAGTTATAAAAAATCAGATTTTCTTAACTTTTCTTAACTTTTCTAAAATCCAAAAATAATTTTTAAAATGTTTCTACCAAACATTTTTTAACTCATATCTTTTCCAACAAAAAAAAAAAAAAAAAAAAAAAAAAAACTTTTAAAACAAGCCAAACACCCTTAACCCTTAGTTGCATAAATTTAGTCGATAAAGACTTGTATTTTGGTATATGTATCATGTATTAATACATGAAAATTAGGTCGGGCTATAAATAACAAATTGCATTTTCATACACCTATCGGCAGAAACTTTGTTTGAGCCCTCGAAGAATCTCGAAAATACACACAAAAATGACGTTACATTTTCGATTCCACCGTTGATATAACGCTTAAAATCCGTCATTAGAAGCATAAACATCGCAACCGGAATCTTTTCCAGTTCAAAGATCTCAGATTTATTGTTAGCAATGGCGAAAACTCGACCAGGCAAGAGAGACTTGGAATTCTACACCATCAGAGGCACCAATAAAGTAGTCCGAGGTAATACATACAAACATACAACGCGCGAAAGCATTTACTTGCTGAAATAGATTTCCTTTTCAGATTTTGAAATTGTCCTTCAGATTTTGTTTTAGGAACAAATGTTTGAGACTAATTGAATCATGACATACCGATGTACTTTCAAACCCTAGTGTAGTAGTTGATTTGAATACCCTTTGTTTATGTGAGACTTTATAATGTAAAATTTGTGTGTGGCTTGCATGTTCCCATCCCTAGTTGCTAGGGTAATGTAAGTAGGGCACTGGAATTACCAGATATGCGTGGTTTTGATTATTTTTTTTTCTCCTCAAAAGAGTCTTGAAAAGAGCCAGATTTGTTGTTTGAGTTTTTCTTTCCAAAAGAGCGCACATGTGACCCCACATCTAGCTGGTGTAGGACACCAACAACAACTTCAAATGATTAGATTACAGTATGGTCTTTTTCTTTTCTTTTGGTTTGAGACTTTGAGTGTGTAAAATTCAGTTACAGCTCTTTAGAAGCTGAAGTAGATCATTTATGCATATACACACACATTGTAGCTATATTAAACCATACATATCGACGAATTTGTGACTAGAGTTGCAAGCTTAGGGTACTTGAGCTGGAACTGAATAGAAACACTTGTTTGTTTTATGAGTTTCTAGGGTAATATTTTATGCCCTAGTTGAAAACAAAGCTTTATGTAAAGGGTTGTGATTCTAGTTTATTGTTTTTTGATGATAAAGCTGGAGATTCTGTGTTGATGAGATCTTCTGAGAATGAGAAGAACCCGTATGTAGCTCGTGTGGAGAACATAGAAGCGGATGTCAAAGGAAACGTGAAGGTTAAAGTTCGATGGTATTATCGTCCAGAGGAATCAATGGGAGGGAGAAGACAATTTCATGGGATAAAAGAGTTGTTTTTATCCGACCACTTTGATATCCAAAGTGCTCATACAATTGAAGACAAATGTATTGTCCATTCCTTCAAGAATTACACCAAGCTTGAGGATGTGGGACCCGAGGACTACTTTTGTAGATTTGAGTACAAGGCTGCCACCGGAGGGTTCACGCCTGACCGTGTTGCAGTGTAAGTTTTGAACAGGTTGTACTGTGTTTGATGTGTATTGGACTGGAACCGAGACTGATGCCATTTAGGTATTTTTTTGTCCATCCCAAAGACGAAAATGCCCTCCTCATCTACATCATTGAAAATAGCCTTAGAAAGTTATTAATAGAAAAAAAAAAAAAAAAAAAAAAAAGTCATGGAAAATGTATTTCAAGCTTTTAAGGGGACAATACACGAAGAGCATATTACTTTTATCATTTTATGGAATTTGTCATGTAACAATTTATGGTAGTGATTACACCATTATACTTTTTGACCATTTAAGAAAAACAATTTTCCATGTTATTCGGGAAAAACACAGAAAAACCTTAAGTTATTCCAAAGTTGATAGATGAGACTTCACTATGACAAAAAATGAGTTCCAAAAATTGCAATTTTTTATTTGATATCTCATCTGTGCAAAAGACGTACATACCCTCCCCACCTTCATTATCAAAATTAGCCCTAGAAAGCTTGTCCAGTCCAATCCAGCTCATTCAATCTTGTCCCGTGTAGCAAATGCATGGAGCCTCACCTTTTTTTTTTTTTAATTGATTAAATCATTTTTCCAATTTGAAGCTTCAAATTACTATTTTATGATTTTGTTTTGAAGGTATTGCAAATGTGAAATGCCATATAATCCTGATGACTTAATGGTGCAATGTGAAGCTTGCAAAGACTGGTATGTATGTCATATACAACCAAAAATCACGACTTCACAATTGCTTTGTCTTCTGTTTCTTCCATATTCTTGTTACAATATATATATATATATATATATATATATATATATATATATATATATATATATATATATATATATTCTTTCATTTCTTTGATGGAAACAAGTATTTGAAGCATTAACATCAACTATTTTGAGTAGTAATTAAAGTAACTATTATACCATTTTATTGTGTGTTATTATGTTTGAAATTGTAGGTATCATCCAACTTGTTTGAATATGACTACTGAGCAGGCAAAGCAATTAGATAGCTTTACATGTTCTGATTGCTCATCTGAAGATGTTAAGAGACCTCCAAATAGAAATTCTTCATCATCTCTGGTCAATGGCAAGGTCAAACCACTCTCCCCTCAAAAATATTTAATCCATTTAAATATTGTTTCTTTTATTACTTAATTCAGAAAATACCAATGTTCTTTATTCATTGCTGTAGTTTGGTAGATTTTTTTTACAATATTAGAAAAAAGCAATTGAAAAAGTACAATGCTATAATGTAAAGTACGTTGCTATTTCTGAAATATTTTTTTAAACACCATTTATTCAAAAAGCATGGTTTGGGTGATGATTAATTTTCATGCGTCTGATTTGGTTTTCTTGGATTTTTAATTTTACAGGGTGAACACAAGCGACAAAAGAGGTGATTTCTCAGTTGGTGTGGTTGAAGAGAGAGGGTTGTACCATGTGTTATGTGTGTTGTACAGTGCAGAAAACAAAAACTAACTCAAGAGTCTTTTGGTTGGAAAACAGTTAGTGATGAGAAAATTGTAGGTTGAACTTTAAATTGTATTTCCGGATTTCTCCTTTCAAATTTGGTTGTTTTCTAGGCATGTGTGTGTTTTTTTTTCTACATGAAATGTTGTTTTGATAAATCATATTTAAAAATCACAGACACACTTGGAGAAATGGTAGGAAAACAATAAGCAAGGACAGTTTTGTAAAAAGTTATATAACTAAAACCCAGCACATAACAAACGCAAACAATGACACGATAATAAACCATCATGACTATATATATATATAAAGTGGTTGTACTATGTGTTACAAAATTTGTACCCCGTTGTACTTGAAGCAACTAGCTTTTGATGTATATGAATTGTATCTATACAAATATTATAGACATCACATTTAGAAATGAGGTTTATATGTTAATATAACACGTCGTGATCAGGGGTTTTGTATATGAATCCTGAGTCCCCATTAGATCGTTTGTTGGCCATGCTTGCCCTTTGCATCAAACGAACTAATGCTTGCACAACTTCAGACATGGGAGGCCGAAACTCTGGTTCGGGCTATACACCAAAAAAATAGCAATTTCACTTTTATGTTTTCAAATCACAACATTAGCATTTTTAAAAAAATGTAACACGTGTGTGTAGAATGATTTGATTTGAAGAAGTTTACCTGAACACAAAGGGCAATGACGTCAGCAAACCTAGACAAAGACTTGGCAGGATACATGCCATTGAGTGAAGGATCAACCATTTTAGCCAATAAGTCTATATCATGAAGTTGAGGGGTCGCCCATCTCACAAGTGATTGCTCAGATCTCACTCTCGAGCTACACATTTATTTAAAAAAAATATATATATATATATATATTGCAATTTAAAAAATGGCTGAGAGTATTTTTTTAATTGGTTGAGAGTTTGTTTACCACCTGTCGAGTGGCTTTCGACCAGTCAGAAGCTCCAACATTACGACTCCAAAACTATAAACATCACTTTTTGTAGTATAAATACCCGACAATGCAAATTCAGGGGCACTATAACCAAATGAATCCACCGTCTGTGTTGTTGATGTCTGTACAAAAGTGTTTTTTATTAGGATATTCTACTTTCAATTTTTTCTTCTTATTAGGACATTATACTTTGAAAACACTGTCTAATTAGTAATTATAACTTGCTACTTTTTAAAACCAATAATTTCAAATTAAAATGAAAATACATTGATTGCTATATGTAATTTGTTAACTAAATATTTATTTTTGTAATATCTTAAGAAATGACCAAATTTTAATTGCACAAACTAAACCCTTGAACTTTCTAACTTTGTCCCAATCAGCCAACTTTTTGACTCCTTTGAACGGTCACTATGCAGATTGGGACGCCATGTCAGCATCTAAGCGGTCAAAGTTTGGCCGAGTGACTTGATTGTGACAGAATTAGAAAGTGAGTGGCATAGTTAGTTTGGTATTTTATGACATTAACCCTTCTTTTATAACTAAAAGTAGAAAACAGAAACGTGTGGTGTGGGGTCCACCAATTTACCTCCCGCTGTGTGTTTGGTGTAAGAGCTGCTAAACCACAGTCTGATAAATGAGGGTTGAGCTCTTCATCGAGTAAAATGTTTGATGACTTGAAGTTTTTATGTACAACACATGGCATGCAAACTTCATGCAAATACCTATCAGACATACCAACCATTTAGAAGGTGGGAATAGAGATATCTTTAATTTTTTAGACAAAATTACATTTTTGTTCCTAACTTTATAGTCATTTTTTGGATTTGGTCCAAAAATAAATATGTTTTGCTTTTTTGGTCCCTATGGTGCCATTTCTTAACCTTTTTGGTCCTTGAGCCGTCTAAATTAACATCCCAATGGTTAAATTCATGAAAATGACCATTACACCATTGCCTTTTTCATAGGGACCAAAAAGGGAAAAAGATTCATTTTTTACACAAAATCCAAAAAAATGTTTGTAACACAGGGACAGAAAATAAGTCATTTTTTAGATTTGTTTTTTTGGTCCTTATCATACTATTTCTTAGCGTTTTTGGTCCCCATGTTGTAATTAACAATCCAACTATTAATCTTATCAAAATGGCCATTATACCCTTATCTCTTTCCGAAAAGGCTAGACCAAATAAAAAAATGTCGAAAAATTTAATTTACTGTCTTTTTTTATTTGGTCCAAAAAAGAATTTTGTTCACATTTAGTCCCTAAGGTATTATTTTTTTAACCTTATTGGTCCCTCATCTGTCTAAATTAACATCCCAACTGTTAATATAACTGTGTCTCTTTCATAGGGACCCAAATCGAATTCCTTTTTGGACCAAATCCAACAGAAATGACCATAACACACAGGGACGAAATTGTCATTTACTCGTTAGGGACATACTCTAGGGCTCGAGCTGTGCCGAGTGCTACTTTAACACGTGCATTCCATGTGAGGGATTTGTTGTGCTCATCACAAAAATGCAACAAATCATGCAAACTCCCATTTGCAATGTATTCATAAACCAAAAGGCGTTGCCCATGCTCTACACAATATCCTTCTAACAGAACTATGTTTGGATGCCTTAGTCGTGACATATTTGAAACATTTGCTACAAAATTATCTTCATCTTGTAGTGATAATGCTGAATTATCTATCTTCTTGATCACCATCATCTATGAGACAATTAAATTTACCAACAAAAAAAAAAAAAAAAAGAATTATGTTATTATAGACATAAAAAAAGAAGCTCAAGAAAGATCTGGAACACCAGAATAAATAAATAAATATACCTTCCCTCTGGGGAACTCTGCTTTGTAAACACGACCCAAAGAGCCTTCACCAATTATGTTTTCTTGACTGAAACTGTTGGTTGCTGTTTGTAAAGCTGAAACTGTGTATGAGATTGATGTTATAGGAGACTCAACACTCTTTGTAGTTGTAGACCCATAATTTTGTATCTCAAACATGTTTTCTTCTGTTGGTTTTACCCACTGCTCTTGCATTTCTGTATTAACTGCAAATAAACAGTGAACGCGTTTTACTCCATGAAATGTTTTTCAGATATTCCTCTTTCGGAGGAGGGTATTCATGTCTTTTTGCAGGTCTGGACAGGCTTTCTAGTTTCTACAACTATTTTCAATCATGACGATGAGGAGGATATTTATGTCTTTTCCACTATTTTCAATGATGAGGATGAGGAGGGTATTTATGTCTTTTCCACAAACGAGAGAGATCCATATCGAGTTTCTCTCCCACCTTTTTGGGTAGGACAAAAAATTGCAATTTTTGTGGCATTGACACATGTTGTAGTTCTATCATGTCATGCGTAAAAAACAAGGCTTAAAGAAGATGGTAAGAATATTTCTCACCACTGAGTGGATGGCTTTCTGAAGAAGTTTTATGACCCTTTTCCGTTTTTACCCCTTTTCGAAGGCAGAAGAGGAGTAAAAGAAGCCCTAAAAAGAGCAAGAGTGCAGAACACAAACTTATGCCTAAAATAGCTCCAATCCTCAGCTTTTTCTGATTACTAGTTCTTGATAATTGACCATTAGAGCCTGTAGGCACACTTGGAAGAGAATGGCTTCTATTGTTATTGATTATAAGGGGTGAAGGTGGGGTGGATGGAGGTGGAAGAGGAGTGGGAGCATTATCAAATGAATTTCCATCATATCTGTTTCATTTCAACAAAAGCATAAATCTCATAATAACAAAAAAAAAAAAAAAAAAAAAAAAAAAAAAAGGAGGGTAAAGGGACAAGTTATTACACGTATGAAGTTTAATAGCTTACTTGAAAGAAGGTATGGAGAGAAGCTCCTTTGGTATCCATCCAGTGAAATTGTTGTTTGCTATATTTCTGTTAAGGAGAAAACATATAAAAGATAATTGGAACAAATTAAGAACACAACAAAACAATATGAGAGTTTGTGAAACTTACATATTTTTCAAAGGTAGACTAGAAAGGGAACTTAAAGAACCAGTTAATTGATTGTTCTGTGCATGACTGAAATTTTTTAAAAGTATCATTAGAATTCTGGACATATTAACCCAATAATTAAGCAATGGGTAGTGAGAAATATAGCCTCACAGTGTAGAAATGTTTGACAATGAACTGATGGAATTCGGTAGATCTCCAGTGAAGTTGTTATGTGAAAGATCCCTGCATTTACATGTAAATGTATCAGATCTAGTCATAAAGAATAGTGTATAATTGGGTAGATTTTTCATTTTTCAAAGTATAAGGCCTTAATAAGAAAAAAAGTGAAATGAAAATCGTGTAATACAAAGATATCAAAGTAAGATGCTATAAGACATAAATAAATGAAAGTATGTTTCTATTTCTTGCATTTAGCACATAAATATAGATGCATATATAAAATGTAGTCTGTTTGTAAGTATTGCAGTTTGAACTTACAAAGTTGCAAGGCTAGTGAGATTATAAAAAATATCACCAATATTCTGAGAGATCATATTGCTACTAAGATTCCTGAAACCAAGATTAATTGGATTAAACATTGTGGAAAATAACATTAGATCATGTATATGTGTGTTATGGTGCTCACATGTAATTCAGATTAAACATCACAGCAATGGAATAAGGAAGACTTCCACTTATATTGTTGTTTGCAAAATTCCTGTATTGGCATAAACTTAATGAATATTTTTAATAAAAACTGGTAAATATTGAAAATAAAAAAATGATCCGAGAAATGATTAAATATTACAGGCTGGTAAGATTTGGTGGTAATTGATATGGAAGTGTGTCATGAATGTTGTTCCCACTTAAATCCCTTCAAAAAAACACCCAAAATGAAACTTAAATTAGGAAACATATAGGCTCTTTTTGTTACACAGGACAAGACATGACATGACATGACAGAACAGACTGTACTGTGTTTATCCCATCAAAAAAGTTGGGACAAGGCTGGACTCTCGATCTATTGTCTGTGTAAAAGACAAGAATGCCCTCCTCATCTGTATCATAGAATATAGCCCTAGAAAGATTGGCAAGTATGGTGAGTTTAAAGATGTGTTCTCACAATGTTTTTAGTGACATGAAGCCTGATAACAAGTATCCCAATGTACCATCAAGTCCTAATCCAGGAAGTTCACTGTGTCAAGGCAACAATGATGAATCTTATTAGTTGAATGAGTGTTAAAGAAATAGCAATGCACTTCCATTT